CATTAAAACGTTATTGCATAGTCAAGCGAATTCGGAACTCGTGACAGCAAAAGCATTATGGTACAAAGGAGTTAAGAGCAATTTAGAGGAATAATTAATGACGTTCATTTCAAAGTCAAGATAAACTAATTCACCAATTCACCTCTCCAGTGCAACACTTTAAAAGTTGGTAAAATTATGGGACACGTCATCGCATGCCTGCACGTCATGATTGGGAGGTGCGACCGTACAAACAGTGACCAATCATTAACCACTGTTTGTTTAACCTAATCCGCCATCCTGATCATGATTAAGCACCCTGCGTGTGCACTTTATCCGCAATACCCATACTGAATAAACGTGCTCCGTGCTACACGTCCGTTTACTTTCGTAGATGGGCTATAGCTTAGCTGGTTCTGGGAGTCTAGCTAGATGTTGGAGAATCTGCCACAGAGATTTCTGAGTCAGTCAGGCTTTACTAGCGTGGCAATCCGCCACAAAATAGAATATTCGAGTTAGGCCGATTTGGGTTGATAAGCAGAAAAAGAAAAGAGCATAATAACAAGAAATTTGTTTAAATTGAAAAAAACCTTTTGTTGAAATAAAGTTACTGGTGATTTTATTGCAAATTCTAATTAAAATGGCTTACTGAGGGAGGTAATGCAGGAGTTTGGCGACTATGCTTGAAAAATCAAATAAATACATAAAATAATAAATGAAATAAACATTCATGTATTACAAACGAACCGCAGTTATTTATTTTGAATGATTAACTCAAATTGGGTTGCATGAAAGTGAAATAGGAGACAAAAATTTTGCGATTGTCGTATTGTTACATTGAATGATTTCTTTATGTGTGGGATAAGCCAAAAAATTACTGATTTATTTTTCTTTCGCTGAAACTTCAGCGCCATCTATCTACCATTACCCTATTTTTTTGCCACACAGTCGCCACTCTATATTGCCTAGGACGACAGCCCTAATAATAAGAAAATTTATTTAATTCGGGATAATTGTTAACTAGATAAGGGATTAGTAGACCGGCTTCCCAATCACTATACTGTTAGGATCTTCAAAAATTGATAATCCGGTAAACGAAAGACGGAGTTTGAGCTTTCTTCGAGTGCAACGAATGCGTTCCAAGAGGCTTCCTAGCACCCATATTTGGAGCTTAATTGAAATCTATCTGAATTGGCTTGTTACTGTTGTACGTATCTAGAGGATATCTAACTTCATTAGGAAAAAAGTTCTACTAAATACCAATTTTCCAGCTAGCTGCTCATTTTATTCTCCTTTCAATGAAGATAATCGACCGACAATTTCCGAATTTTTGCAAAGGGAAATCTTGTTGTTGCAGCTTGGGGAGGCTTTAAGTATCCTATCTAATGTATTATTTAGGGGAATGGCATTTTATTGTTTCCTCACACGAACAAATTATGTATGTGAGTAGTCCTTTCAACTGGGGATTCTCAAACTTATCCTCTTAATCGTAAGCCCCGTTTCCACTCGTTCTGCGTTGAGATATATTGTTTTTTAAAGGTCAGATCTTTTTCCATCGCCTCTTTTTTCACTCACGTTCTCCTCTTGTGCACTATCCACACGAATTGAGCCAGATCAGCTTCTGCTAACATTAGGAATTACCATCACTTTCTCGTTGAGCTCTTAAAGGGGTTTACTAATGACCTTTAGTGCAATTTTATGTTATCCTCTGGATACCTACCTCTCTATGAAACCTGCAATCAGAAATGTTGCCAATAATCATCAATATTAATTTTCCACATATCCGTCTCCCATTTATTGCCAATTTTCCCCTTCAATTTAACTAAAAGAAATTGACGTGATTTATACCACGGACTGAAAGTCAGAAAAAGTAGCGATTTAATAACTTAATTTCCAAGAGTGACCTGAACTACAATTTCTGAGTAGTATAAACTTTAGCTGAGATTACTAATCCCTGAACGAGTTTGCTGATTTGCTAAAAAGGATAAAATTAAGAAGAGCGGAAAACTTTAAACATACTACTGAAATCGCAACTCGAGAGCAAAAGCCATGGAAGGGAATCGAGGTGGCTGATGCGCAGTGGATATAATTTCACCTATCGCTTTTAGATTTCAGAGATTCCAGATTCCAAGATTAGTAATAGATCACAATTTCGAGAATAAAAATTCTGCGTGCATTGCCCTTGTAGCGGATTGCTACTCTAATAAAGCCCGACCGACTCAGAAATCTCTATGGCAGATTCTCAGACCGACTCAGAAATCTCCATGGCAGATTCTCAAACATCTAGCTACCGGCTCAGAAATTTCTATGGCAGATTCTCCAACATCTAGCTAGGAATCAGAAATCTCTATGGCAGATTCTCCAACCTCTAGCTAGAGAACAGCTAAGCTATAGCTCAGCTATAAAGAAAACAGACGTGTAGCACGGAGCGCGTTTATATCTGTGGCAGATTCTCCTACATCTAGCTAGACTCCCAGAAAACGGCAGATTCTCCAACGTCTAGCTAGACTCCCAGAACCAGGGAGATTCTCCAACATCTAGCTAGACTCCCAGAACAAGCTAAGCTATAGCCCAGCTATAAGGGAAACAGACGTGTAGCCCGGACTACGTTTATTCGGTACGTATATTGAGAGCGAAGTGGTCTGTTGGCAAAGCCATTAGTTATCAGATAAATCTGGCATAATTCGTTTGAACTTTAATAGCTAAATATTTCGGAGTAATATTCTATAGCAGGATTTCTATTTGGTCATTGATGGAGTGTCCCACACCCTCCAACCACCACTCCCCCCTTCCCCTCCCCCACTCCCTTTTCGTTCCTGTTTCGTAACACAACGAAATTCTCCAATTGGAATTGGCAACAACAAAAACAGCACAAAATATCGAAGCCAAATAAGGTTTACTAAAATGATCTATAAAGTATACACAGGTGGTATGCAAAAAATTATTCATTCTCCTGCTTTCTTGAGTACATTAAGAATGTTTGAAGGACCTTGAGAATGGGCGAGATTAAGGGCGTCTGCTGAAACTTCAGCACCTAAACAACAAAAAGAAAGCAATGGAATTCATTTTAAAATCCATTTTATAGAATCTCAAGGTCATGGAATGTAATTATGCTAACATATAAATTTGAATTTACCAATAGGGACATAAGCATTAACTAATCAATGGTAAACAGTCTAATTGTGGATAAATAAATGGGCAAATATTAACTTACCATGGGAAATTAAAACATGGACGATATCTTCAAGACCTAAATTGATTGCCAATATCAATGGAGTTTGGCCATTTCTGTCTCGAGAATTGACATTAGCTCCGTTTTGAATAAAAAATAGCACTAAATCTGCATCTTTGGCGTAAACGGCACTGAACATGACAGGATCTTCTCCCTCTGTGGAATTGTTGACATTTGCTCCCATACCAATCAAAAAGGTCAAAGCTGCTTTATCCTTTTTCAATGCGGCCTGCTGTAAAGTCACTTGGAGTTCCTTCTTTTTATCAATGCCAGGAACATCGGTTTGGAAGATCAATCTTGCTATTTCCAGGTCATTCTAAAGGGGTGTAAAATTACCACGTTTGCCTACTCGTGTAGTGGCGAGAATAAACTCGGATTCTTCATGTTCATTCAGACCCCGTATTAAGAAGGGATCACGGCCAATTAAGAATGAAGTGACATGACGATGCCCCTTCGAAATTGCCAACATGAGAGGAGTGTATTTATTGGCGTTTAAAACGTCCACTATACTTCCCTTTTCGATCAGAAACTGTAAGCATTGCAAGGCTCCACCATATGCAGCCCAGTGGATTGCCATATTCTCTTCACGATCTGTCAGGTCTATAAATGCCCAGTTTTCTAGTAGCTTTCTGACAATTTCAATGTGTCCCCTTTCTGCGGCGATCATGAGTACGGTCTTCTTTGTTACTTGATCTCGAGCGTTTGGTGAAGCCTAAAGCGCAGCAAAAAAGGAGTTGGTGACCCAATTTAAAAGTATAAGCTTACACGCATTTGCAAATGTTGGTTAACGGCTCTAATATCATTGTGTTTGACTGCTTCAACAAGACTGGGACAATATTCATAGGATACCATTTTGAGGTATGCTGGAGAAAAAAAAACGAGATAGAAGAAATCAAATCATAATGAAAAAAAACGACCATTTTCATCGCAGACTATTTCATTAGAAATTGTAATGGTCTGACTACCTGAGTGCTTGGTGGAAAAGTGAGTAGGCAGACATGTTAGAATTTTAAAATTGATTCAAGTGATTGGTACTTCTAGATGCTCATCATTCATTTGAATTTGACAGTGAGTTCAAATCGATGCACCGTTGTTCACGTAACTGAGACCTATTCTACTTAGTTTAAATGAGTAAGTTGAGTTGGGACTTATCAGCATATCGAGTTTTTGAGAAAAATTAAATTACTACTTTTCGCCGCCATTACTATACATAAATGTTCTACAAGTTGTTCTTTAAGCGACGACCAAAATAAAAAATGCCCAGAATTAGCCAAAATGAAATGAAAAAACATAGTAATTGTATATAGGCCATATAAATGACCCAAATCATAAAAAAATCAAAATAAATTCATTTTTGGTGAGGGAAATTACCAGATCAAGAAAAATAGGGAACCATAAGTTCCTCAATCAAAATGACCTCAAGAATGAAGCTAAAAACATGCCTTTCATTCCAAAACAGCCAGTAATTTAAAGAGTCTCAAATCTAATGAAATGGGCTGTTATTTTCTGCCTTTAGTTACCATAAAGAAGTCAATCAGCGCTTAAACTAGTGTAAAGGGCAGTGCGCAGGAAAAGTGGTAATTCCGCGAACCTCATTAATTCATGGCACCAAATGATATTGCTTGCGATAGACTCATCGCCATGTGGTGCACCCTGGGCAACGTGTACTCATACGGCAAAAAGGTCTATTAACTGGCAGCTAACTTCTGACTTCAAGCTACCATGACCAGACTGTATGTCATATTCTACCGCTTCCACAGTACTCAACTCACCTGTCTCTTCTACATCTGTGAATCATTATTCTGTCCACAATCTCGACTTTTTGCCACTTTTAACGTTCCTCCTCCTCTCTGTGAAGCCCGAAGTCAGCTAAAGGTTGATGTTCCTCCTCTCTGTGAAGCCCGAAGTCAGCTAAAGGGCTAAAATGCTCCTCCCTTCTGTTGAAGCCGAAGTCAACTAAAGGGCTAATGATAACTTTCAAAACGCCTGCCATTTGAAATAAATAAATAAATTTTGTTTCCATAAAGCCTGCCATTTGATATAAATAAATGTACTGCTATTTCTGAAGCCCGAAGTCAGCTAAAGGGCTAATGATAGCTATCAGAACACCTGCCACTTGAAAAAATGATATTGCTTGAATAAGAAAAATACATCGTTAATTTAACTTCATTAGGGCGAAGGCGTGAACAAAATCGTGATTACTTAAAGATGTGCCATCACTGGTGACTTAGATGAATGCTATTTCTCCTCATTTTACTTGATAAATATTGTCTTAAGATTTCCCAGTGATTTAAATTATTATTATCTATGTTTAAAATACTTGGGTGGTGTATAAAATGGAGTGATTAGCTAGATTTCACGTCACAAAATAATTCTACCACCCACTTTCCCTTAATATCCTATTCCAATCACAATGGCATTATTCTCGCAATGATTCTCTGGCTGAACCTTCCTGTATTGGACAAAATAGATTTAGATAAAAGTGGATTTTTTCAAATGGCGGGCATTTTGGTAGTTATCATTAGACCTTTATCTGACTTCGGGCTTCACAGAAGGGAGGAACATTAAAGTGAGAAAAATTCGACAAGGGTAAAGAAGAGTGATTCACAGATGTAAGAGACAAACAGACAGACACAAAGGCTAAGAAAAGGTAAGATGAGTACAGTGAAGGGGTGGAATATGGCACACAGAGGGTTCATGGTAGTTTGAAGTCAGAAGTCAACTGCCAGTTAATGGCCTTTTTCCGTATAAGTATGCGTTGTGCAGGGTGCCCCACGTGGAAGTATGTCTATCATACACCCGAATTTTTTATAAATATATTCATTTTGAATGGAAAAGTCTTTTTCTTCATTATAGTGCCAATATACCAGTGGTCAATGTGCGCGTGTGCTGAAGCAGAGATCATGAAGTCGATTTCCTGAGAATCAGATGGCAAATAGGGTGGGTGGG